GCACCTTGGGGCCAGCCGAAGGACGGGCCGGGCGCTTCAACTGAAGCTTGCTTACAAGGTATGATCTGGGGGCCTCGAAACTTGCAGTTGCTTCGCAAATGGAAAATGGATGGTGTTCAGAATTTGGCTCTCCCCTCAGCTCTGCGCATACTCGTCTTCAAAACGTGCAAAAACTTTCGGATTGACTTGCAAACACTCGCCTTGAACATTTGCAAAAGAGTCACGGATTGGAAGCGGGTGACTTTCAAAATATGGCTGCTGTTTTGGAGTCAGCACGTTCGTATTACACGTGTGCAAGGGTTTCACGGATTTGGGGCGGGTGGTTTTCAAAAGGCGGGTCTCGCTTGAGCGCCACGCGCACTCTTCTTAAACATCCGCAACCAGTTTACCGATTGAGGTGGGTTACGTTTTAAAATGTGGTTCTCGCCTTGGCTCCTCGCACATTAACTTTCAACCGTTGTCGGAGGCCCATGGCTTCCCATGGTTAGCGATTCGTGGCTGTCAGGGGGCAACAGTTACACTGACTTTCGATGTTGGCGTCGCAAGACTAGCGTTCTGGTACGATGCAAGACAGCCAATCTGCAACACATAGGTTGATTCGTGGCGTTGAACTCCCGAGAACGGTGCTTCGGCGCGCATCCGGATGTCCAAACGCTTGTCTCCCAACGGGAAACTTCTCTGAGTGGAAATGAATCCATGTATGGGGCCTATGAGGCAGTATCTTGGAGGCTGGGTTTATTCCAACATCGTTCATGAAGATTGGGGTCACAGCGGTTCCCGTCCTCCGTTATTCTTCCTTATAAACAACTCCCTGTCGCACCCGGGGACCAGTCGAAGGGCGTGCCCGGTGTTTCGCATGCGGCTTCCTTACCATGCGTGGTCCACTCTTGAAACATGGCAGCAGTCTGACATATGGCGGGCGGATCGCGTTCAAAGTGTGGCTCTCGCCTTAGCGCCGCGCACACTCGTAATCCCACCAGCCCTGTGGGCGTAGGTGGTCAGGGCGGTTTCTCTTCCAACCTCCTTCTTCCCCTTCGGGGAGGGGTCTACCCTTCCCCTACCGCCTACCCTGGACCTGGAGGGGGGTTCTCGCGAGGCGCTGGAGCGTCCATGATGGCCCAAGATTGTTCCATGAGGGCCTCAGAAAGCCAACGATGACCCCCAGATGGCTCAAGATAACCCAAAATGGCCACAGAAAGCCAACGATGATGGCTCAAGATAACCCAAAATGGCTCCATATGGCTCCCAAGATGCCCCAGGAGGCCCCAAAACCGCTCCAAGACGGCCACAAGTGGCTATATAACCTCCACAGGAGGCCGCAAAGAGGCCCAAATCCTTCAAACATCGAACACAAACAAATGAGTTTGGCTTTCTCGCCTTTTTGCTTTCGACAGCCTTCCGAAGCCTCAAGACAGCTCCAAGGGGACCACTGAGAGTTCCGAGAGGAGCCCGAGAAAACCCCAAGACGGCCCAAAGAGTGCTCACGAGCGCTCCAAGAGCGCTCCAAGCGAAGATGCCTCCAAGAGGCTCCCAAGAGAACCCCCCGAGGTCCCAAGAGGCTCTCCGAGGCGCCCAAGAGGCCCCTGGAACCGCCAACAGGCGCCCAAGACGCCCCGCGAAGCTTGTCTTCCTCCTCCTCCTCCTCCTCCTCCTCCTCCTCCTCCTCCTCCAACTCCTCCTTCTTATCCCTCTTGGGTTGCGACGGTTTCTCAAGCACTTTCTTCCTCTGTATGCATCCCCGCCTCCCTGATCAGGGCAAGTCGTCTGGACATCGTTGCTGGATGGGTTGGTGGGGTTACTTTTTTGTTGCAGCCGCAGGCGAAGGCGCCGGCGGCGTCAGAGGTCGGCTCGGGCTACGAGCAGAACTAATTGCCTAGCACGCGCGCAGGCAACAGCAGAGCCTACCGCCGGGGGAAATTGGGCTGCGCCGAGGACAGAGGCTGCTACCGCTGGTGGGGTTATTTTTTCGGTCGCGTCCGCAAGCGAAGGCGCAAGCGGAGTCAGAAGCGCTACGGGTCACGACAGCGGCCGAATTAGCAGCTAGACGCGCCGCAAGCCGGCCGGCCCACTCATACAGCAGCGGCTGAGTGCGCGGGAGAAGCTGCAAGCAGGGGGCGTCCAGGGTGCTCGAGCACTTGCAACACGGCAAAATGCTGGTGAATTCAAGAGGTGCCGAGTGGCAAACCCGAAGGGGCATGATGACGATAGCTGTGGGCGGCGCGTCCAACATGCCGTCGGAGTGACCAGACGTGGTAAGCGATGGGCCGTCGCCAGGGGGGCGCCAAGCCCAAGCCGCACCAACGGCGTGTGCGAGCCAGCTGGGCTGCTCCGCCGAGGAACGTCGAATACCAAACCGGGGGTGGGACTGGCCCGGGGGCCGAGGCTGCGAAGGCTGAGCCATTCGAAGCGGGCTGTCCTCCAGGGGCCGTCAACCCGCGCAACATGAGGAGCCACCGATCCTGCAGGGGGCCATCCACGTACGGCTGCGCGGGCGCCAGCTGAAGCGCCGCGTGAGGCCAAGCTGGCGGGGAAAACATCGCCAGCAAGGTGGGGCGCCCAGGATGGAACTGCACGGCTGCAGCCGCTTGATGTACGCCGAAGGCCACCGTGGGACGGCCTTATCCGCCGAATCCGCCATTCCCCGCAGGGGTCCAGGGTCTCCGTCGAATCCGCCATTCCACGCGGGCGTCCAGATTCGCAGCTAACCGCCGCTGAAAGTGAGGTAACGTTACCGCTGTCAGCGGGGGTCCTGGGCAGCCCTGGGGTGTGGGGACGAAAGACTCCGAGACCATAATACAACCATGGCGGCAACCCAACCTGGGGGAGACCCGGAGGGTGGGGCGGTGGGGACAGACATCACCGACCCCCCACGCGGAGGGGCCCCCAAGGGGCGTCCGGCGAGGGTGGGGCGCAAGGAAAGGACCACCTCGAAGTCCAAGGGCAGGGGACGTGGCCTGAGCCCGGCCCGAGAGGGACCCGAGGAGAGAGGCGGCGGGGCCAGACATCACCGCACCTCGTACGGATCCCAGGTGCACATGGTGGGTTTACTTTTTTTGGTCTGCGGCCGCGCGACAACGGTCCGGCGGCGAAGGGCAATGTCCGGGGCGGGCGGCACAAAGCGAATTGGCGACCCTAACCGCCACGTTGGCAGGCCGGATCGCACCTGCACAACCAGCGTGCAGTTGCACATGTACTGAACAGCATGCTCTGCATTCACCAGCAAACGCACCTGGGCGCCGCCCAGTATACCAAAATGTACAAGCGACCGCGGGTGCGAGTGCAACGGAGTGAAGCGCCCGTGCGGCGCCAAACTCCAAGCAGCCAGCCCGGCTAGCTAAGAAGCACGAGCCCGGGCGACAGGCTGTCGGCGGTGGAAAACAAGAGGCAAAAGACGAAAAAGGCTGAACCACTCAGCGCGCATCTCTCGAACTCCACCGCTGACTTGAGGGGGCCGGCGGCACCCATCGCAACGAGTCCGGCGCCTGCGTCGAAAGGCCCGGGGTGGATGCGACGATGCGTGGTGGGCTGGCTGTACCAGGCTGCAACACTCAAAGCGAGGCCTTCGGGCACAGACCCCCAGCGCCCGTGGACACCAGCGACTGCCCGAGCACCACAATGCCGTCCTGCTGCGGAGAGGCCCACCGATGCCAGCCGCGGACAACGCAGAGGGTCGGCCCGTGGGGGGGAGACCTCCGAGCTGCCTGTCCGACAGGTCACCCGACATGGCCTCCACGGCCGCCGCGGGCGAACCCCTGAGGTACAGTGGGGGACACCCACCGGGCCGAAGTGGCGGGAGGCGCTCCGTCCCTCACCGCGGCCAGCCCGCAGCAGCGCCGGGGCGTCTCCTGTCACCTGGTTTGTCCAGTAGTGGGTGCCACCCTCAGAGTGCACCTTGCAGTGGAAAAGGGGGGAGCAGCTAACCGCCGCAAGATACAAGTAACTTGATAGCAGCTGCACGCCGAGAACATCTGCGCATGAGGGGGGTGCAGCTAACCGCCGCGGAACACACTTACATCGAGGGGGGGTGGCAGAACCTCGCCGATGCGGTCTGAGCTGGAGTGTGCCAGCGTCGGACGCGCCTCATGGGGACCTGGTGGGGTTACGCGGAGCGTCAAGAAATCGGAAGAGTTTCACGGATCGAGGACGGCTCGTCTTCAAAATGTGGATGTCACCATAGCGCCGCGCACATTCGTCGCACAAAACTGCAATATTCTAACGGATTGAATACTGGCCGTCTTCAACATGTTGCTGTTGCCAAGAACTGCCAGGGTTTCACGGATTGAGGGCGGACGGTTTTCAAAATGTGGTTCTCGCCTTAGCGCCGCGCACACTCGTCTCAAACAGTCGTAAGAATTGCACCGGTTGAGGGCGGGTCCTTTTCTCAATGTGGCCCTCGCCGTAACGCCGCGCACACTGGTCTTCAAACACTTGTAAAAAATTCACGGCTTCCCATGGTTAATGTACCAGACATGGCGTTTCGGAACCGTTCGGGAGTGTCAGGGCGCAACGATCACGTTGTGACGCGGTGTTGAAATCCAACGGATGGTGTTCTGGCGCGATGCAGGACCGTCAAGGCGCAACAGCCAGGTTGATTCGTGGCGTTGAAGATCCGAGAATGGTGCGTCGGCGCGCATCCGGACTTCCAAACGCTTGTCTCACAATGGGGCGCTTCCCTCAATGGAGATGAATCATTGTAGGGGCCTATGAACCGGGCGCTTGGAGGGAGGGTTTCTTCCAGCACCGTTGATGAGTCTTGGGATTGCACTGGTCCCCGTCCTCCGCTCCACTTCCTTAAAAAAAAACTCGCTCCATATAAACAACCGGTCCTTCTCATCCTCCTCCTCCTCCTCTTCCTTTGCTTTTCCTCGTCCTCTCCCCCTCCTCCTCCTCCAGCTCCTCCTCCTCCTCCAGCTCCTCCTCCTCGTCCTCCTTCTCCTCCTTTTCCTCCCTCTCCTCCTCCTCACCCCCCTCCTCCCGCTTCGCGCGGGGGGGGAAGGCTCCTCGTCTGCCCCTGGCCGGCGCCAAGGCCCCCGCGCGCAGCGAGGGCACTACCGCCAGAAACCGCCTCGAGGGCGCGTGCGCGTGGGCTGGCGGCGGACGGTCGTCGACGCTGTGACGAGGGCTGCGTCGGGGAGCGGACGTCCCAACGACCAAGCACGAAGCAACACCGTAAGGAAAGCGCCCAACGCTTGAACTTTGCTTCACATATCGGGGATGGACAGACCCCCCTTTAGCAAAACGTGGTTTAGTGAAAACGACCTGAGGCCCAAACCTGGCGGGCGCAAGCCTGGAAAATAACGGCCACGACGTCCTCTCGAGAACCGAAAACGGACGATTCACTAATCGACGTGTCACTGTTGGGGGTTCTGGCCACCCCCGAACATAGCGCGCAGGCGGAGACGTGAGACCGGTGCGAGCATGACTGAGCAGCGTGCTTGCCACAGAAACGCCCAGGGAGACATACAGAACGGCGGGCCCATACCTCGGGGTGCTCGGGAGAAGACATGCCACTGGAGGCTCCTCGCCGTCGTAATTACTGGGATCGTTTTGGGCAGTGGGGGGCAATCAGGAAGAGAAATTCCGGGCGGAAAATTACCCAGAGGGCCATGAACGAGGTGGCGCTCGGGGTGCGGGGAGGTGGTCATAAGGGGGCCCCGAAGAGCTCCTTAACTGCCGCCCTGGCTCCCTTCCACCCCCTGATTTGCTCCACCGCCACCTCCGCGCCAAACAATGTGGGGTGACAGGCTGATCACAGGAGGAGGAGGAGGAGTCAAGAACTGCCGTGGCACACATCAAGATAAAAAAGAAGCAGAAATACGTCGGCGAGCGAGGGCAAGTTTCGCCGTCCTCGTCCACCTCCACCCAATCGTCCTCGTCCTAGTCCTCCTTCTGCTCATCATCCTCCTCGCCATGATGCTGCTGACAATAGTTATCCAAATGCCCCACCGCCTCAGGATGACGGCTAACGCAAAAACAGGGGAACGAGTAAGTAGTTGCCTGCCGCGGGGAGAGATCCTGGAGAGGGCGATCATCGACTGCACGCAAGAGCGACCCTAGGCAGGAGTGGCCTTTTGTGCGCGGCTTTCGGGGGCCGCTGAGGGCCTAACCCATGCGCGCAAGCCAATGCTGGGGGGGGACCCCCGTGGGCCCGCACTGAAGGTCACCCGGGTGAAGGATCACTCTTTCGGCGGTGGAAAAACCTCCATTCAGTAAACCTCCCCTCAGTGAAAACGGCCCCGGGCCGCAACAGACGCACCTGGACCCGCACAAACGACGGCCGCGACGCCCCCTCGCGAACCGAAAACGGCCGATTCGCTAATCGGCGTGTCAGGGTACAGTCGGGCCGCTGAAAGAAGGAACGCTGAATAAGGAACGGAGCCCCCTCTTGGCCCTGTAAGCGCCTCCGTGCCCCAGGAGGGCACGAGGAACAGCACTGTAGGAACCTAAGGAACATCGAGCCCCATCCGAACCCAAACTGTTCCTTATTTCAGCGTCTTGACTGTAGGAGGTCTACCCACCTCCGACTCTTGCGCGCAGCCGAGATCAACCCGTATAGTAAGGATGCGCGATCAGGATGCAAGAGCCGTGGACGCCCATTTCGGAGCTTTTTGAGCGGGGCGCGACCAACGAACGTGGCGAAGGATGGACAGAGGAGGCAAGGACGCAAGAGTACCCTTGGGTTATGTTGTCCCCATCCTACTTAAGGACCGCATCCCAGAAATAATTTCGAGCACCCCGAAAAGTGTCAAAAGAGTGTCGAAACAGTGTCCGACGAGTGTCTTCCAGGGCCCCACACGTGAAAACCTTTGGATTTCGGTACTCTTTCGGGCGCTCGAAGTTCTTCCTGGTGATCAAGGCTAAAGTAGGTTGGAACATCATAACCCTTGGGAAGGTTGCCCGTCCTTCCTATGCGGGTTGACTCTGGCGCACAGCCGAGATCGAGGACTCACTAATGACGACGGCGACGGCGGCCACCGAGCAGGCACGGAGCCCCAAGGGCGCCCTCTGCGTGGCGCGACCCACCCCCTCCAAAGCCTGTTTTGAATCGTCATCCGCCCATGCCCCGCCTTGGTGATCCTCTCCAGCCTCTGTAGCCTCTTTCCCCAGCTCCCTCTCCTCCCCCCCTGCTCCTCCTCTCTTCCTCCTCCTCCTCCTCCTCCTCCTCCTGTCCTCCTCCTCCTCTTTCTACTCCTCCTCCTCCTCCTCTTCCTCCTCCTCCTCTTCCTCCTCCTCACCTTTTTCCTCCTCCTCCTCCTCCTCCTCCCGTTCCTCCTCCCCTCCTCCTCCTCCTCCTCCTCGTCCTCCTCCGCCTCCTCCTCCTCCTCCTCCTCTCCTCCTCCTCCTCCTCCTCCTCCTCCCCATCCACCTCATTCTCCTCCTCCTCCTCCTCCTCCTCCTCCTCCTCCTCCTCCTCTCCTCCTCCTCTCCTCTTCCTCCCTCTCCTCTTTCTCCTTGTCCTCCCTCCTCCTCCTCTCTGCCTCCTCCTCCTTCTCCTCCTGGTCCTCCTCCTCCTTCTCCTCTTCCTCCTCTTCATCCCCCATCCACCTCATTCTCCTCCTCCGCTTCGTCTTCCTCCGCCTCCTCCTCCTCCTCTTCCTCCTCTCCTCCTCCTCCTCTTCTTCCTCCTCCTCCTCCACCTCCACCCTCCTCCTCCTCCTCCTCCTCTTCCTCCACCCCCCTCCTCCTCATTCTCCTTTTCCTCCTCCTCCTCTCCTCCTCCTCCTCCTCCTCCTCCTCCTCTCCTCTTCCTCCTCCTCCTACTCCTCCTCCTCCTTTTTCTCTTTCTCCTCCTCCTCCTCCCCCTCCTCCTGCTCCTCATCCTGCTCCTCCTCGTGGCCAGCACCTCTTCGTTCCTATCCTCTCAGGGCACTGGATCGAGAGCATGCTGCCCTCGGGTCAGCCCTCGCCTTCTGTGGCGCTTGAGCCGACAACGCAAGGCGCAACAATCCTTTCTTACACCGCGTCCTTCGGTTGACGAAGGAAGGCATCTCTTTGTTTTCGCGTCCGTTCTTCAATCATGGGGAAGAGAAAAGGCAAATGGTGGCCAGCAGCAACAGGCAGCCTCCCAAATTCGGACATCCTCACCATTTCCAGTGACTGGATGGTCTATGTGTGGGTGGTGTGGGCGTCAAGAGTGGAACAATCAAACGGGTGAGAAGTACTTCCGCTGCGACAGAAGTGGTTCGCATCTCGACTTGCATTGTCCCAAAGGTCCTCCACGTCAACACGGAAGAAAAGGTTCGATCCTGCTCGAATTGGCATCAACGGCCAGTCCACTGCGAAAGGCAGCGTCGTCTCCCATCGAGGTGTATGAGCAAGCGCACGCAAACACCAGAGACCCCGTCGTAAAGACAAATTGCAAGCACAAGTTTCCAAATTGAAGGCTGACGCTGCGAATTCGTCCATTCCAGCAGCTCCCCTGAAAACGCGGTTCGACGAGCCGCCGCTTCCGTGAGGGATGCGTCGACGAAGCCGGATCAGGCAGTCGCAGCACTTCTAAATGCTAAACCGCCGAGCGCGAGGCCGCCTCCACCTTCGCCTTCTCCAGCCAATGCCAGGACCCACAAGCGTCTCGCAGTGCAGGCGCTGGTCGGACAGGCAAGCATCTCGACGAAGGCGAAGGATAGAAACGCCCTGTCTAAGGATGAGCTCCCCACCAGCGCGTGGGACGAACCTTTTTTTCCCCAAAACTTAGACGCGATGGAGGTCAAGGGCGGCGAGAAGGGAGTTCTTCGATAGCTAGCCAGACGACGACATTCGGGACACGAGGGACCTGGTCGGCAACAAGTCCTCCGACGTCAAGGAGTGGCTCGAGAAGTACAAACGCATTGCAGAAGTTCGTCGAGGACAGGATGGCCGAGAAGAGCAGGGGCACCGACGGCACCGCGGTCGACACATCCAGCGGCAACGGGGCGAGCACGTCAACGGCGCCAGCACCGTCCGCCGAGGCCGGCGACGAGGCGGAGCTGGCACAGGGGGCCAAGAGGATCGGCGCCGCCAAGTTCGCCGCCGCCACCGACGCGGGCGCCAGGCCAGCATCGCAGCCGTCGACAGGTGCCAATGCGGGTTCGAGCCATCCTCCGGCAGCCCGCAGGGACCTCCTCGGGACTCCAGCAGGCGCAGACATGGTGGATTGGTGGTGGGTTCTGAAGCACCTCCTGGGAGGCCTCTGCAAGGGCGATCAAGACCTACGGGCCTCGGAAAGAATCAGCGAACGCTCATGCCCCGTTCATGCGGCAACGCCCACCCCCCAATGATCAATGTCGACTGTTGGTTGGACGATTTGCACTTCGACAGCAGTCTTCCCCGCGCGTGCCAGCTGCGAGGTTTCGGGGGCAGTCGCCCTCTTCGACAGGAGCGATGCCCGCTTCCTCGAGGCCGGCCTTCGAGTAGCGGCACTGAGACTTGTTTGCGAATGCCACGGCACTTGTGGGGCAGACTTGGGCCCCCCCCCAATAGGACGGCTATCATGGCGCTGTGTGAGACGCATGTCGGGTCCAAGGACGACGCCCCTCAGTGGGGGTATCAGGCCTCGCAGGCCAAACTCAGACTGGCTTGCGCCCCGCCCCGCGGCGCGGGAAAAGGCGCGACCTCAGCTGGTTAGAGCCGAGCCATCGACGGGGCGATCTGATCTCAAGTAGGCGACACATTAGGGCGCGCTCACTTGCCAGTTCCGACAGAAATTGGACCGATCTCACAATCGAGAGTTCCACGATGCTCGACGGGTTCAGAGCTGCAGTCGCCCATCAAAAACACATACTCGTTCCTAGTAACGGGCTGCTCGTTTGCATTAACCACGCGCCACGCCTTCTCGAACGAAGGCGTTCAAGGAAATAAGCTCAAACAAGTCGCCCGCCTGGGAGCTTCGCCCCGGCAAAGTCGTCTTCTCTGGGCATTGGTCGGGGGCTGGAATCTCATTCCCGAGACGTTGCAGCGAGAAGGTTTCGTGGAGAAGCTTGACGGTGTCATGTGCATGTGGTCGCTTGATTCCACTTGCTCGTCAAGGGCAAAATGCTCATGCATAATATGTTACCGCACGCTCTCCCAACGTCCGTTCAGATCTCGGGTCGAGGCGCGGAACGATGTGCCAGGGCGACCTCGTTTTGACTGAATTTCGACGGTGCGTCATTCGAGTCAGCAAGTTTTGCGCCGTGAGCTGCGGAGAGCTCCGAAGCCACCGCAGGCTCCGAGGCCAGAACAAGCCACAGGCAGGATCTCGCTCCGGCCAGAATCGCGCAGTTGCGGCCGAAAGAAGCCTTGCCTCGCGGAGCTCGGCTGATCAGCAGCACCGCGAACTGAATGGGGACGAAGCTCACGAGAGCACGCGGGGTGTACTTCAGCTGCCCGTCGACTCGGGCGACGAGGCCGGCTCCCCTGGGGCCTGGGGCGCCTCTCTCGCTTGCCTCCCTCTCGAGGCCCCATGTCCGAGTGGCAGGGCGACGCCGAGTCTCCCACGGGCCCGGAAGCCCTTGAGGACATCGCCCAAACCCCGACCTGCCCAGATAGTGACGCCCCCCTTGAGTCTCAGTGCAACGCCCCTCGCCTCCTCCCCCGCCTCCTCCGTCTCCCAGACGAGACCTGGGAGACCACCGAGAAAGAAGTTGCGCATGTTCCAGTCGCACATGAGCGCGAAGTAAAGCCAATGGCACGCGACTACGCTGCCTTCACGTGGGCCGGGGGCGCATATGAACATGAAGAACAATCCAAGGGAACTGGTGGGGCGCCCGCTGGGCCTCCCTCGTCGGGATTGGAGAACTTCCCCTCGTGCTGCTGCTTGCTGACTGCATGCGCTCCGCTGCCTCCTGCTGCTGGGGCGGCGTCCACGAACGCCGTCCAACGGCGCCGCGCAAGCTGGGCGTTCGACTTGGCGCGGTCGGCTGTGGCTGCCTGGGTGGCCCAAGACGAAGAAGCCAACAACTCTCGTGGACGCTTCGACTTCCCCCAGCAGCAGCCGCGTGCTCGCGGACGCGAACATGTCGCAGCCCTGCTGGGTGAAGTCCGGCACCAGAGCGAGGGGTGCATCCTTCAGGTGCCCCTTGCAGGCCCGGCGTCAAGCCAGCGGTGCCGGCGCCGCCGCGGCCGCCGCCAGCAACCTCGTGAGCCGGCCCAGGGACATCCAGAGCTCCGTCAGCGGGCTGACCTTCCTCGCGTCGGTGCGCTGGAGGTCCTTCAAGCATTTCTGGGACCTGCAAACGCCGCGCGACCTGCCGCAGTAGGCGCCGCCATCCTGGATCTCGAAGAGCCCGATCAGGTGCCCGTCCGCCACGTCGTAGGACACGCGCGCAGCTTCGTCGGGAAGACCTCGATCATCCAGCAGAGGAGCCTGCTGCTGCACCACTTTGGCTGAGGCGTCCGCTACAGCATTCCCCATCGGTCGTCGCCCTCTGCGCCACGTCGAACCTCCGCGGCGACATCAGCACCCGGGCGTGGGCCAGGGCGCCCAGCTTCGCGTAGGAGAGGCGCGCCGGCGCGTGCGGGCGCGTCGTCGTCAGCCGAAGTTCCTCGACCTTTGGGCCCGGGCGCCGCCAGCGAAGCCGAGGCCGCGAAGTTGTCGAACTTCTTGCCGTCGCAGGTCGGCCGCGGGGGCCCCAGCAAGGCACCTCCGATCGAACGAGAGCGCCATGATGCCGACAGCTGCTGCGGCGCCATGTTCCAGCCGCCCGCCGCAATGAAGGGCTCGTTGGCGGCGTTCAGGAACTCCTGGGCCATGCCGAGCAGCTCGAGGTTGAATCCAGCCAGCTTCGTGGAGTGCTCCAGGTGCACGCTGACCGCCGCGAGTACCAAGTCACCGAAGGCCACTCGTCGCGCGATCACCCGATGCGAAAGGTCGCCCCGGCCCTGCTCGATCTTCGCCACTCCTCTGAAGCTCGCCGTCAGGGCCCCAATTCCCGACGAGACCTCCTGCGCTAGCTGCCCCGTGCGCCTGCAGGCGCCTGATGACGCCTGGAGTCCGTTCCTCGCGCGCCAGCTCTGCGCGGGGGATGCAGCTGACGAGCCTGCGAAGCAAGTCCCCTGCCCCAAGAAGACATCGCCCTGGGTGCCCTCGTCGCGGATCTGGTCGATCGCCGTCTTGGCTTCCGCCCAATGTGGGCCGTTGATCGCGACGACGCTGGCTGCCGACACCGCTCTGGGGAGCGCCTCGGCCAACTTCAGCTGGACCACCCCACCGGCCTGCCTCCTGCTGCTGGGGCTAAAGCTGCGGCTGCGCTCCACCAGCCGCCGCCGCGTTGCCTGCTGGCGCCGTCGCCAAAAGGACCCAGGTAGCGGCAGCCTGCTTCTTCTTGGCCCGAAGGGCGGCCAGCCGCTCAGCCACAAAAGCGTCTTCATCGCCACCGAAGCTGGGGCAGGCCTCCAGGTGGGCGATGGCACGCTCCAGCTCGGCCAGGCGGGAACCCTGCGGCTGGCTGCCTCCGCCTTGGCTGCCCTGGCTGCTGCCGCCTCCGCCGCCGCCAGCGTCCGAGGCCTGGCCAGCCCGAGGGTGCGGCTGCGGCGCGGGCCTTGCGTCGCGCCCGTTGGCCCTTTGTCCGCCGCGACGAAGCCCTCAGCGTCGGGCGCGGCGCGGGTTTTGGGCGCCGACCGCCGATCCCCACAACCCGCGCACGGGGCGGGGCCCGGCGTGGCAACTGTGAAGCGCCACCCTCGTGTGTTCGATGAGAAAGCGCCGACTCGGCTTCAAACAGCGCCGATTCAGCGTCGACTAGATTCGGTGAGTGCCGATGCGCAAAGAAAGGCCAGCAAGATGGCATGAGAGACCCCCAAGAGTTGCCACGCCAGAGGGGGGGTTCCAGGAGGAACCTTTTTGGACGCCCGAAATGGGTACGGAAATAATGGGCACTCTGCCCAACAACCAATGTTGTCCCAAACCAACAGCGGCCGCTGTTGGGCGAGCGGCCTCCTGTCTCGAATGGACACAGGCCGCGGCGGCGTGGACAGCAAATCCTGTTCAAAATGAACAAGATCCGCTGTTGGGCATAGTACCCATTCTTTCAGTACCCATGTCGGGCGTCCAGAACCTTGGAGGTCGAGCCGGACCATTGACCACACGAGCAGACCCGGCACGCTGCGCTCTTGCCGCCGCCGCCACCAGCGCCGCCAGTGCCAGCGCCGCCCCTTCGCGGGAGCCACCGTCCCGCGGCCGCCCGCCTAACACCCAAACTCTGGCTCAAAACTGCGTCGCGCTGGCCCAAAGCGAGGCGCCCCGCCGAGGCCGCCCGCCTCACACCCAAACTCTGGCGCTCAAAACTGCGTCGCGCTGGCCCGAAGCGAGGCGCCCCTCGCGCTTTTGGCGCCGCGGACGACTCGCGGCCGTCGGGCGCTCCGTGGCCTTGAGCCAGAATGGCTACGGACGGTGGAGGTTTGAAATGAGGATGCCTTCGAGAAGGAACCCGGGGACTCGCGACCGATGGGCGGCCAAACGTGGGCCACCCACCTCGCCTTCAAAGAATCGGCCCAAGGGTCTGGGCCCCAGGAGAACGTTCCTTATCCAATGTCGCAGCCGTACTCCCCGCACCTCTCCTGGGGTGCGTTCTGGCCAGAATGCCGACGGCGATGGCCTCCCAGGAAGCCCATGAAGGGCAAAACGAGTGCATGGTAGAGGTATGGGTACCTTGTCCTCCTCCGAGAATCGAACGGGAGGAATCGAGATAAGCCCTCCAAGGGTAGGGAGAGGAGTCAGGACAAAACCCTCCAAGGAGCGTCGGAAGACAGAAGACGGGCGGCCTTCACCACCTCGGCGAAGCTCTTCCCGTTGGCGGCGGCGCCCCACGCTCCGCCTCGTGTCAAGAAATAGGAGCAGGATGAGGTGGAGGAGGAGGAGGAGGAGTATGAGGTGCAGGAGGAGGAGGTGGAGGAGGAGGAGGCGGAGAAGGACGAGGAGGACGAGGGCGGGGACAAGGAGGTGGAGGAGGAGGAGGAGGAGGAGGAGAAGGAGGAGCAGGAGGAGCAGGAGAAGGAGGAGGAGGAGGAGGAGGAGGAGGGGGAGGAGGGGGAGGAGGAGGATGGGGTGATGGAAGAGGAGGAGGAGGAGGAGGAGGAGGAGGAGGAAGAGGAGGAGGAGGAGGAGGAGGAGGAGAAGGGAAAACCCGCGGAAGGCTTGGGGACCAGGAAGGCACCGTGACCCCAGCACGGGGGGGTCCTGATCCTAGGAATGTTGGCGATGGTGGCATTGTTTCGGCCACCTCGGAAGCCAGAAGATCACCACCATCGCCGAGATCGGGCGCATTTTCCTTCCCTCGGTGGGTAGAAAAACACACACACACACGCCATACACACAAATACCTATACGACCACCCTGCGGGTGATAAGGAGGTTGGGGGGGGGGGGGGGGGTAGGGGGCGACAGTTGTGATTGTTGCGATGCCGCTCGCTCTTGGGATCCCGCTATCGATCTCACTATCGATGTCGCTTTTGATCTCACTCGTCATCTCACTATCGATTCCACTAACCCGAGGAAGCATTTAAGAACCCCCCCGGCGATATCTTATCACCGCATTTTTATTCGATATTCCGAGGGGCCGAAATAACCGAACGATAGGTTTAGCACCCGGACACAAAACAATTTCGCAGAGGCCTGGCCCCTGGGCCACAATCGAAATTCGAAATTCAAATCTGCGTGGCTCTCATGAAAGACTCAGGATGTCGCTTGCTGCTTGGAAAATTCATGCACTGATAGTAGTATTAATATTCGCAATGATAGCATTATTAATATTCGCGCCAACATGCATCTCCTGAAGTGAGCTATGGAGGAGCTCAGAATTTTCAGAGAGACTGAAACCCTTGCGTCGAGGCGTGCTACGAGGCCTGCCTGGGGGCCTGCTTAGACGCCTGCTCAGGAGCCTGCTCAGAGGCCTGCGTCTGCTTCTGCTTAGGAACCTGCTCGAAGGTCTGCTTCGGAGGTCTGAGAGGCCTGCTTCGGGACCTCTCTGAGAGACCTGCTGAGGACCCTTCCCAAAGAAGCTTTCCCTGCTCCTGCTTCTCCTCCTTTTCCTGCTCATGTTCCTTGTCTTGCTCCTCCTTCTCCTCTCCTCCTCCTCCTCCTCCTCCTCCTCCTCCTCCTCTTTCTCCTCCTCCTTCTCCTCCTCCTCCTCCTCCTCCTCCTCCTCATTTCTCATTCAAAACCCTTCTAGAAATTGATTTGCATCGGCCGTCCTAGGGGGAGGTCCACGAGAGGGTATCCCGCCCCCCACCGCACCGTGGCGTTGTCTTAGCACCCGGCCGCGCGAAAAAACACTCCAGTTCTATTCCTGCGGGTGTCCTAGGGATTCCTAAGGATTTATCTGGGATTCTTAAGGATTCCCTTACGATTCCTGCGCCTTCCTAAAGCTTTCTGTGGATTCCTCAGAATCCCAGAAGACTCCTTTAAATTCCTAAGGGCTCGTCACAATTCCAGGGGATTCCTCATGAATGTTAGGATTCCTAAGGATTCCTACAGTGTCCTCAGGATTCCTGAGGATTCCCAGAGATTCCTAAACATTCGTTCTCCTCCTTCTCTTCCTCCTCCTCCTCCTCCATCTCCTCCTCTCCTTCCAGTGCTTCAGACTTGTGAGCGACGCTTCCATCTCATCAAGAATCCAATCTGACCTGGGCAAGACACAGGACAATATGCCGACGATCCGTTCTGAATCAACTGGAAAGGCTGAGAAATCTGGGAAAGCTGAGAAACCTGGGGAAGCTGAGAAACCTGGGAAAGCTAAGAAACTGAAACAACTGAGAAGCTTTCCCTGCTCCTGCTTCTCCTCCTGTTCCTGTTCATGTTCCTTGTCTTGTTCCTCCCTCTCCTCTCCTCTCCTCCTCCTCCTCCTTCTCCTGCTCCTCCTCCTCCTCTCCTCCTCCTTCTCCTCCTCCTCCTCCTCCTCCTTCTCCTCCTCCTCCTCCTCCTCCTCCTTTTCCCTCTTCTGATCTGCTGGCCTCTTGGAAGAGATTCCTCATTCAAAACCCTTCTAGAAATTGATTTTCATCGGCCGTCCTAGGGGGAGGTCCACGAGAGGGTATCCCGCCCCCCGCACCGTGGCGTTATCTTAGCGCGCGACCACGCGAAAAAAAACAATCCAGTTCTATCCCTGCGGGTGTCCTAGGGATTCCTAAGGATTTATCTGGGATTCTTAAGGATTCCCTTACGATTCCTGCGCATACCTAAGATTTCCTGTGGATTCCTCAGGATTCCAGAAGACTCCTTTAAATTCTTAAGGGCTCGTCAAACATTCCAGGGGATTCCTCATGAATTTAAGGTCTCCTCATGAATTGGGAGCCTGCTTAGGACCCTGCTTAGAAGGCCGCTGCTCCTTGTGTCTGCTGAGAGGCCTGCTTGAGGGCCTGCTTAGGAACCTGCTTGGAGGCCTGAGCCTGCTGAGAAGCCTGTGTCTGCTTAGAGGTCTGCTTGGGAGCCTGCTTGGGAGCTTGCTTAGAGGCCTGCTGAGGGGCCTGCTTAAAGGCCTGCTTAGAGGCCTGTTTGGAGGCCTGTTTCCTCATCCTGCTCCTCCTCCTTCTCCTCCTCCTCCTCTCCTCCTCCTCCTCTCCTCCTCCTCGTCTCCTCGTCCTCCTCAGGAGAAGGCCCAGAGGGGAAACCCCAGGTGACTTGGGCCCTGACAGGCCTTGGGCCCCGAGGGAAGGGGGGGGGCGCGGGAGGAGGAGGAGGAGGAGGAGGAGGAGGAGGAGGAGGAGGAGGAGGAGGAGGAGGAGGAGGGGGCAGGAGGAAGTTCGTGGGTGGAGGAGAGGAGGAGGAGGAGGAGGAGGAGGAGGAGGAGGAGGAGGAGGAGGAGGAGGAGGAGGAGGAGGAGGAGGAGGAGGAGGAGGGCTCCTGGTGCCAGGTAACGCTTCCAGGGTGCGGAAGGGTTATCGATTTGCCGGAAGGGGGGGGGTTCTTAGATGCTTCCTGCGGTTATCGATCTCGCTTTCGATCTCACTATTCATCTCACTATCGATTCCACTATCAATCTCGCTATCGATCCCATTCGATCGATCCCACTCGATCGATCTCACTATCGATCTCACTATCGATATCACGATCGATCATCGATCTCACTATCGATCTCACTATCGATCTCACTGTCGATCTCAACACGGGACACCACGGGACAACGACGGGACACTGGCGGGACACCAGCATGGCAACAGCGGGACACCAGCGGGACACCAGCGGGACACCGCGCGCCACCGGTTGCCGGACGGAGAACCTTTTGGTCTGGCCGCAGCCCAGCCACGACGGGACACCGGCGGGACACTAGCGGGACACCAGCGGGACACCGGCGGGACACCGCGCGCCACCGTTTGCTCGGCGGAGAACCTTGTGGTCCAGCCGCGGCCCAGCCACAGGAGAATTTCCTTTCCACAGCCCACGCAACTTCGCCTCGCCCGCACGCACGGAACGAACGCGAAACCGAAATCGATTTCCCGGTAGGGGGGCTCTCCGTTCCACTTCGATCTCGCCCCCCAACCTCCGATTTGGCGCTCTGCGCGGATCTCTTGGATCTGCGCTGGACCCCCCTCCCCGGCACACACACACACACACACGCACACACACGCACACCCCACCCACACACGCCCACACACACAGACACACACACACATACACACGCACACACACACACACACACACACACTCAGAGAGCCCACACAGCACAGCACAGACACAGACACTTTTTGATCTGCGGGGCGAGAGCGAACCTCTTTCGATAGATGCTAAGCAGACATAGACACAGACACAGACACAGACATACATACAGACACAGACACAGACACAGACAAAGACACAGACACCCAGGCACACACACAAACCCACACACACACACACACGCACACACACACACACACTCAGAGAGCCCACACAGCACAGCACAGCCACACGCGAGCACAGCCCTGCCCACACCAGACGCCCCTAGAAAAAGTGCCACGCCACGCTGTGGAGTGCCGGGGGTCACGGGGAGGGGGAGGGAGGGGGAGGGGAAGGGGGCGGAGAAGGAGGAGGAGGAGGAGGAGGAGGTGGAGAAGGAGGAGGAGGAGCAGGAGGAGGAGGAGGAGGATGGGGAGGAAAAGGAGGAGGAGGAGGTGGAGGAGGAGGAGGAGGCAAACAGTGATGGACACCGAGCGCGCTCAGGCTTGCTATGGCTCCTCGGGTGCCCTCGCGGTGCGAGCTGGCCCTCCCAGACTGCGGAGACCCCAGCCACCCCACCAGCCCTCTTAGGCTGAAGTCGGGCCTGTCCCCCTACAGGGGGATTGTGGACGAAGAACAAAACAAATAGTCAGGACTGTCCTAAAATACGCAATAATGGTTCATAAGAATCGTCCCTGACTATTTTTGAAACTATGTTTGAGTATTCCTCCTGTAGAGGGACAGGCCCGACTTAATCTTCGGCTGGGGCAGCAGGCTGAGCAATCGCCAACGGGGGGACGGAGGGGTGGAGAGCAGAGCAGGGGAGCAGAGGCAGACAGAGGGGGGGGAGGAAGGCACGAGGAGAGAGAGAGAGAGAGAGAGAGAGGGAGAGGGAGAGGGGGAAGAGAGGGGCGGGAGAGAGAGAGAGAGAGACAGAGGGGGGGGGAGGAGAGGAGGAGAGACAGAGGGGGGGGGGAGAGAGAGAGAGAGAGAGAGAGAGAGAGAGACGAGGCACGAGGGGGGAAGCAGGGGCGCAGAAGGGACGACCTGCACTCTCTTTCCAGGAGGAGAGCGGCGCGCTCCGGCCCAGACAACGACACGCGAGGCGTGATTGTCGGATCGCCCCCGAGGCTCGCGCAGCACCGCATCCTCGCAGAGGTGCCGCGACGAATGACACCCAGAACCCTCAATCACCTGCGCGGGCTCTTGCAGTCGTCGGCTCAGCTGGCAAGGAAGCCTGGGTGGTGGGTCCGCTCCTACCTCAGGCCCTCCCAGGCTGCGGAGACCCCTCTGGGGCAGGCCGAACCATCGCCGAGAGGGGGAGTGAGGAGAGAGCGAAGAGCAGAGGGGGCAGGCGAGGGGAGGAGGCAACTACTGGGAGGTTTTCGTCGGAAATATTTAAAAGGATTAAGCCCCATTTCTGGGCTGTTACGCCTGAAGGGCCTCGGAACAAGCCGGACTACGCGGGGTTGAGCGGGATGAAGCTGGATGAAGCGGGACTATAAGCAGGATTGTGCCGGATCTCGGACCAGGGCAAAATCAGGATTTGACCTCCCAGGAGTTGCATCCGAAGCGAGGGTTATGTTGTTCCCATCCTACTTAGGACCACATCCCAGAAATAATTTCGAGCCCCCAGAAAGGTGTCAAAAGAGTTTTGAAACAGTGTCGGAACAGTGTCGAGTGAGTGTCTCCCAGGGCCCGACAGGTGAAAACCCTTGAGCCTCGGTGCTTGTTTTGGCCGCTCGAGAGTCTTCCTGGTGATCAAGGCTAAAAATAGGTTGAAGCATGAGGGGAGAGCCCAGACCCCCGACGTCGTGAATTTTTCATGACGTCGACCCCCAGCTGTCTGGACCCATTCCCCGGGACCGGTTTCTCGTCCCGAGTCGTTTTCTGACGGTCCCGAGGGCCGGTAAGGGCCCCCAGAGGCCAAAAATAGTGAAAAACCTCCCGTCGTGATTTTTTCATAACTCGAGGGGGTCTGGGAGAGGAGGGGATGGGGGCAGAGAGGGCGGGGAGGAGAAGCCTCAGGCAGGGCGCGGCGGCCCCTCCGCTTTACCCTCCACCGCCCCGGCAGCTCGCAGGCTCCAGAGCCGGCCCGCCGCCCCCGGCCCGCCACGAGGGCAGCACATAGGAAGGGGCCCTGGGACACACAAACAAAGACACACAAACAAAAGGATCCCCCATATGTTTACATACTTTCTCAACTTCTGTCTTCCCCCCCCCACTTCCCATACTTCTCTCATATTTTCTGGGGAATCGGCGATTCATGGTGTCTGTGTGTTTCTTCCCCTCCTGAAGATAGGCGGAAGAGCGGAGGCCGAGAGCACCAGGACCCCAGGAGGGGGCGACCGAGCAGACGAGGACTCCGAGAGGAGGGCGGCCCACCGGCCCACCAGGGCACGGCGCGCATGGGGGCGCGATCAAAGCGAGAGGCGCCTATGCAGCTCGAGCAGCAGAGCACCGACGAAGCTCCGCAGCGGATCACACCCAGAGCCCATCGCACGCGAGCGAAGTGCACTCGGATGCCAGGCCCGCCCCCCCAGGCTGCAAGCGAGCACAGACACCCCAAACCCTCCGAGGCCGAGGCGGGGTGAGCTAATTATCGCCTTCCCGGGGAGGGAGGGGAGGAGAGGGGAGGGCAAGAGAGCAGACCAAAGGGAAGAGGCTTAGTGGGCCCTGGAAACGGCAGGGCCGTTTCGTTCACCGTTTCCGAAAAATGTCTCATGAATTCGAAACGGCAAAAAATCGGCGACCGGAAACGGCAACAAAAACGGCTCCAGGATTGGAACCGGAGCGGGAACCCGTAAAAGAACGGCGACGGAACCGGTAAAAAGACGGCGTCGGAACCAACAACAAACACGGCAAAACGGAACCGGTAACAAAAACGGCCCTGTCGTTTCCAGAGCCCACTGAGGGAAGAGGGGGCTCCACACCGGGATCCAGAGCTCCATATGGGGGCCCAAGCAGCGAACCAGAGGCGCTGTCGACGCGCGGGGGCCCTCAAGGGAGAGGCCAAGACCCCGGGTGCGCCGGATGCCGGCTGCGCGCACGCCCCGGAGGACGCTGCCAGGAGCTCGAGGCAGGACCCCGTGAGAGGCCGAGAGCTCCGGGAGCTCCGGGAGCTCCGAGAAGCCGACAGCGCACGCTGCCTCCGCGGCGAAGAACACCTACGGCCCAGGCAGCACTCGAGGCGCGATGGCCCTCTCGCATCCCCACGATTCGCCCCGGGGACGCAAAGCGTCGTGCATCGCAGCACCTGAATGGATGAGCCTCGGCGGGGATCCGACGAGGCAGGAGGCGCAGGAGAAGGCGAGAGGCGGGGACTCGGTGCCGCGTGCAGCTACGAAGTCTAGGCGCTACCAAGGGCCTTCCCAAGTGCCTCTTTCTGTTCACTGTGATCCTCGGGCCTGAGGTACGCTGTCTTGCGATCGGTGTGCCTGTTTCTATTCACTATGGTCCTCGGGCCAGAAGTTCGCTGTCTTGTGGTCGGTCGCCGACTGGCGTGGGCGTTAGATTCTTGGATGCTGCCAGGGCTTCTCGTCTTCACTGTCATCGTCGCCATGGTCGTCGTGGTTGTTGTCATGGTCGTCGTTGTCGCCGCCATTGTCGTCGCAGTCGTCCACGAGCGAGGGGGAATAATGAGGGAGGGATCCAGGGTCGAGGATCGAGGTTTGTCAATTATGCTTGGCCTTCTTGGGCCTCGCGGGGTCGCTTTCGTCGCCGCGGTCGTCCAGGGCCTTGGGCCCCCGCCAACGTTCGTACAACGTGCGGGTTCTGGCCGCCGCCGCCGCCGCCGCTACATCCGCGGCTGGCGTCGTCGCCATCGTCGTCGATTTTGCACACGGTTGTGCGGATTTGAACGTGGTTGGCCTGTCCGTGGCCTCCCGTGCCAGAACTCGGGAGACACCCTGAGACCTCTGGGGACCGTCGGGGGTCGTCGTTGTCATCCTCGTCGTCCTCGACACCTCTCCTCCTCCTCTTGCTCCTGCGGTGTGATTCGGGACAACCGCCAGGATGATCACGGAGACTCCAGATATCGGTCTGAGAGGGCTTCCATAATCGTGCCCTGCGTCGTCATCATCGCCCCTAAACCCCTGCCCTCTCTGACGACAGTGGAGGGGGGAAGGGAAAGGCCAAGGGAACAATCAGGATGCCCCCTGCCGTGCGCAGCAGTCGGACGGCAGGGGGCTGGTCGCCAACGGACGCGTGGATTCTCGCCCGTCTCCCGATGCGTGCACGGCGAATGCCGAGAACGTCAGCCCAAGAGGCCCCGAAGAGGCCCTCACAAGGGGCCCCCCATGGTGAAACCCCAAGAGAGCTCCAAGAAGGCCCCCAAAGGCGCACCGTAGGCCCGCAGGAGCAGCACGCAACAACCGCCAGTCCCCCAAGGGGTCGGCGGCGTCGCGCACGCCTGAGAATCTGCTGCCCCGGCCACGCAGGACGGGCCCCAACCGCGGAGCATCAAGAGCCGAGCCCGACACAGCGACGAGCTGGTGCCCCAGGGGACCTTTCAGCGTTGCGCTGGCCTCAGTAGGGCAGTTTCGGTGGCAACCCATGGGATCCTCCCGTGACATCCTGATGGCTCTTGCGAATCGACGCTGGTCGACGCTGATCGACGCGACATCGATGCGAATTGCCGATTTCTCACCGATTATCAAAACTAGCACTACGGCACTCGGGGAAAACGGCGTTACAGCCGGACTTGATTGGAGAGGACACGAGAGAGAGAGAGAGAGAGCACGAGACCCTTCCGAGGGCCACACTCCTGTAGGAATCTAGGAGGCATGTGTCTCTGGTTCGCGGAGCGCGCCAGGGGCGGCGCCAGAGGCGCCGCCGGGGGGGCCCAACGCGGACCCAAGAAATCCGCGAGGAGCGTCGAAAGCATGTTTACGCAGTTGTTCCTCCATCGAGTGTCGACAGTGGCCGCACGAGGGAGACGCGACGATCACCCGAGCGGCACGCAACAACACCCCAACATGTCCTCCTACAGGCGGATTTTGACGGGAAGCATGCAAATAGTCGAAAGCTGCCCGAATCAAAATCACGAATAGTAGAAAAGTCGTCCCCAGACTATTTTGAAGCAGGAAGGAACCGACCGTCCTGGCATTCATACAGTCCTACCACGCAGTGTTCTTAGAACCCGAAGAAGGTTCTAAGAACACAAACAATGTTCTTAGAACATAGACCCGATGCGGTAAATTATAACAGATTCCGCAAGAAATGTTATGATAACATTTCGTGGAAAACGCAAAAAAAAACTATTATAACATTGTTTGGTAGGGCTATAGGCGAGCCGGGGCGCTTCGCCACTGCTTGATTTGTTTAAACTATGCTTGAATATGCCTCCTGTAGGAGGACACGCCCGATTTCACCCCAGCGGCACGCAACAAACAGAAACCAAACGAGGCACCGCGCGCAGGAAGCCCGCCGCGCCGCGCCTCTCGCGGGGGCGCTCGGGGCACTGCCCGGCGCCTCCGCCGCCGCGCCGCCCGAACCAGCAGCGCCTCCGTGGGGCCATCGAAGAACTGTTCCTCCTCGCTCCTCCTCGCTCCTGCTCCTCCTCCTCAAGACACAAGACACAACACGCAAGACACAACATGAAGGGTCGGCGAGCACAACACAAATTGCAAGCAAAAAGTGAAGACAGCTCAAACCTCCTCCTCCTCCTCCTCCTCCTTCACCTCCTTCTCCTCCTCCTCCTCCTCCAGGCAGGGGGCCCAAGCATGCGTAAGGAGCAGGAGCTGCCCCATCGGGAGTGTGTCAGAGGCCCGCCGACCTGGAGGAACAACAACTCTGAGGTCCGCGCGAATATCCTCGATCGGCGCTGGGTCCCCCCTGGCGGCGCCTCCCGCGCCGTTCCTGACGCGGACCCAGACCCCCGACGTGGTGACTTGTTCGTGACGTCGACCCCCAGAAATCTAGACCCCTTCCCCAGGACCGGCTTCTCATCCCGAGTCGTTTCTAGACGGCCCCGAGGGTTGTCTGGAGGCTCTTGGGCGTGTTGGGTTGATACTTTGGCAAGGAAGGGCTCCCAGGGCCGTGTCGGGCACGTCTGGGGGGCTGGTTGGCGGCTTCGTGGGAGGCCTGGGGGGCTCTCTGGGGCTGTTGGTGGGCCGTGTTGGAAGGTTCCTAGGCCGTCTCAGAGTGACCTAGGCGGCGTCGGGGGCCATTTCGGACTGCACCTGGGCGGGGCACTTTTTTGGGGTCGCGGCCGCGGGCGAGAGCGCAAACGGCGAGTCGTAAGTCCGGGGCGCGGGCCTACTAATTGACAACAGGAGCAAACTAGAGCCGCACACCTAAACTGCCTAAGCTGCCTAAGCGGCGCCTCGCGTGAGCTGCAAGCTGCACTGGGTGTGGAGGCCAGGGCCAGGGGCAGAAAGCGCCAACCTGAGCGGGCCACGCGCACTGCTGAAAATCCACCAGGCCGTCGTAAAATGCACGGGGCTCGGCACGTGGGGCCTCTTGGAAAGACTCTTCGGCGGCGTCGCGGGGCATCGTGAAGCACCCTGGGCTGTCTGGGGGCTTTTGTGGGTGTCCTGGGCTCTGGGCGCGGGGCGCCCATGGCGACGCGAGGCACTGGGCAGGGCCCCCCGCCCCTGTCTCGCTGTGTGTACATATATATATATATATATATGTATATGTGTGTAGCTTATGCATATATGTATATACATATATATATATATATTATCATACGCACCTCTCCGAGGGAGTAGAGCTCAGAGGCGATTAATGCGTACGCGGGGCGCCGTGTTCGCGATGTTTCTGGCCGTTTCGCTAGGGACATCCTCGACATTCTGAACATCGGTTGCACCCCTCACGCAAATCGTGACGTCAGGGTCCAAAAACACATGGGAATTTCAACATGTTAACATCACACCTTCAAAAACACATGGTAATTTAAATAATTTTGACCCCGATCCTCAGAGAATAACGGTTTCGCCTGAAACATCCTTCCAACATCGAGCCCCGACGTACCCTCTGGTACCCCAGACCCCGCCTCGGAGCCTCCTGGGGGCCTGCTGGAACCTCCTGGGGCCTCCTGGTGCTTTCTGAACCTTCTGGTACCCCAGAACCCGCCTCCTCCTGCGGCCTCATGGAGCCTCTTGGGGCCTCCTGAAGCCTCCTGGGGTCTCCTGGGGCCTCCTGAGGCCGCCTGGGGCCTCCTGGGGCCTCAGAACTACATGCACACACAGAGACACAAGTCACGCCCAACACATCACACGCTAGACAAACATAACACACACAACACCTACAAAAAACATGCACAACACAGAGCACACATCACACACACACACAACACTCACAATCCTGGGGCCTCCTGGAGCCTCTTCTGGTATCCAAGTCGGGCCTCCCGAGGCTTCCTGGGGGGCCCTGGTACACACATCGCAAGGTGTGGCAACCCCACTTGCGCTCGAGTGCGACTTCGCTGTTGCATTTCACTCCTGCTTCAAATACCCCTTTATTTTTTTGTATGAGCCTGAACACACACGTGCCACTTGTATAGATGTATGTGACGATGTCCCGGTTGTTGTGCTACTGGCCTCTTGGTCCCCAACTTCCCCTGGCACGAATTCCCTCAGTGTCACCTTACAGCGCAAATCACTTTCGCCCAAGTCATGTTAGTACTAATCTTTCTCCTGAGAGCAACTTTCCCATTCATGTGTGAAGGTCTTGACGCACATGCCAGACACTCTCACGAACATATCTCTGACAATCCCTAAGACCTTAATAACAGACCTCGGTCCATCCGCTTATGCTGGCACAGGCCGTACATCTTCAGAAAAACGATTCGTTTCGGCCACGGCCCTGCCAAGAGCCTTCCCGAGGATGGGCTGGCGCCCCCCAAATCGCGCATCCCTGGCGATCGGAGCCCAGAGTTCCGAGTATCCGAGGATGTCTCTGGCGAAGCGGGCCAGATGTCACCAGGGAATCTCGGAGCCTGCGATTCCGAGGATGTCTCGAGCGAAACGGGCATGAACACCCTCGCGAACCGCATCTTGGAGCCCCGAAGCGTAAGGATATCTCAAACGAAACGAGCCAAATCACCTCGTCAGGGCATCTTGCAGCCCGAGGTTCGGAGAATGCCCCAGGCGAATAGGGTCTGAGCACCTCGCGAACCACATCTTGGAACCCAGAGTTGTGAGGACCCCTCAGGGCGAAAAAGGCCTGGGCACCACAAGTGAGATCTCGAAGCCTAGGTTTCCGAGTGTCTCAGACGGAACGCGCCTGGGTACATCGCGAAGCGCATCTTGAAACCCAGAGTTGCGAAGATGGCTCAGGCGAAACGGGCCAGAACACCTCAAGCCAGGGCATCTCGGACCATGGTTCTGAGGATATCAGAAGTGAAACGAGCCAGAACCTCAATGGCCCATGGGGCGCGCCGAGCTCTGTTGAGGGCAACACCTCGCCGGCAACTCCCCAGCACCGCCGTTGGGGTTGCCGGGGTCACTCAAGGCTGCCCTGGGCAACCCCTACAACCGGGCTCAGGTGCCTCGTCTCCCCTTTGTTGAAGGTGATGGTTAAGGTTTGTATGATATGCTCCTGGAGGAACGTCCCACCTTCGGGCCACGTATAACCCTGGAGGAACGTCCTGAGAGCATGGAAAACACAAATACTTATCGGAATGCAATACGGGCATGATACGTCCTCCTCCTCGTCCTCCTCCTCCTCGTCCTCCTCGTCCTCCTCCTCCCCCTCCTCCCCCTTCTGCTCCCCCTCCTCCTCCTCCTCCTCCTCCTCCTCCTCCTCCTCCTCCTCCTCTTTCTCTTCGCGCTCCTCCTCGGCGGTCGCTCCCCGGGCTCGCGGCATGGAGCCCACAGAGGACGTACGCGCCCAGCTATGTACATGAACACGGTCCCTTGAAACGCGAGACCAGCCGCGTGATACGAGCATTCGCGCAATGCGAACTCTCGAAACCAGCGTGGATTCATGTACGTGCACGTCCTTCTTTCGCTCCAGAAGATCTCTGCCTTCAGAACTGCGGGGGTGTCTCAGGCGACTCTGGACGGATCGGCTCGCGCGCGGCATCTCCACGCCCAGAGTTGAGAGGGGATGTCTGGAGCAAGACGGCCGGGGCCTCCTCAGGTCACGACAATCTCCCAAAACCTTCAAGTCTTGAGGGAACTTCAGTCGACGTGGGCCATATGGGCCATTCTGGACGGTCATGGCCTAAGAATGGCGAAGATGTCTCAGGCGAAACGGGCCAGACCATCTCGGATCTGGCCTTCTCGGAACACAGACTTGTAAGGATATCTCAAGGGGAAAGAGCCACACCATCTGAGCATTCTGAGATTGTCGACGCGCGGTCCCCTAGGGCGGCACTCGTTCTTACAATAATCATGCCCTTCTGCACCTGCTGGGCAACCCGGGAAAACTCCACAACCAAAACTTTCATGATGGCAGCGAACGAGAACATCCCATATATATATATATAGATATACAAGCATGCCGCATACTTATGTTTATATATCAATCGCATCGTTCGGACTCCGTGGAATATTTTCCAAGGGGGAAATTTGAACGAATAATTATCCAGCGGCGAATTCATGGCAGTCGGGATCCAGCGGGGGGAAGGGGAGCATCATTTGTTCAACAAATGTTGGACATTATTCTTCCTTGTCGCCATCATTGACGCCGCCGTCGGCCCCAAATCAATCCAGAACTCGCCCGAGGACCCCTGCTGGTGCATATCCCAGCCAATGTTTCGAGCCGCGCCCGGCCGTTGCGACGAGAACCTTCAGAAACCAGCGACGGCGTCGACTCCGCCTGCCGTCGCCGCCGCTGCCACCACAACCGCCATCTCTCCGTCGTTGTCGTCGCGTCGTCGTGGCCGCCGCCGTCTCCGTCGCCGCCGACGCGAGAGGCGCCGATGCCGCCGCCGCCGCCGCCGCCGTCGCCTTCGCCGCCGCCGCAGACGCTGACGCCGCCGACGCTGCCGCCGACGCAACCGCGCGTCCCGAGGGGAACGGGTCCTGGGCCCCGCAGGCCAACCCCAGACTGGCTTTCGCCATACCCCGAGCTGTGCTCTAGACGGCTCCGCGGCCCCTGCGGAGGGCCCCGGGAGGCCCAGAGGAGGTGAGAACAGCTCGAAGGACAGCGTTGCCCCTAGGAACCACGGTGTATGCAGAGGCACGGGGGCTCGCCACTGAACAAACACAACTCCCAGGGCGCACCATACTTTCCAAACAACTCTCGGGGTTTTCGTCTCCCACCCACCTGCTAGATCTTGCCATATTTTCCTGGGAGTCGACGATTACTTGTGCCTGTCGGTTTTGTCCCCTCCGGAATGCAATTCGTGAGCGACGGCGTCATCGTCGCCTCCGCCGCCGCCATCTCCGCCGCCGGGGCCGCCGTCTCCGCCAGCGCCTGCGCCGCCGCCAGCGACGCCACCCTGCCGCCGATCGACGCTGCCACCGCCGATCGACGCTGCCACCGACGCTGCCGTCGCCGCTCGCAGCCGCCATCGGCGGCCGTGGGCAACCGCCGCCACCGCTGTGGGGAAGGCGGCGGGGGGAGGGCGCCGGTCTCGGCGACGGCGGCCGCCGGCTCGGCGGAGGGATCCGAGCCTGGCCGAGCGGCTCCCCGAGCGGGGGGGCCCCCCGGCTCTCCAGGGCGTGAGTGGTTCAGCCAGTTGCCTCTTCCAACCCCCTTCTTCACCTTCGGGGGGGGCACTGTTCCCTACTCTTGCCGTCGCTCGGGCGTCCATTCCCTGTGTTATTTTCAGTTTCGTGCGTGGTTTTTTCTCCAAATGATCCAGGATGCTCCTCGATGGTCCTCGCCGACACAAAAAATGCACACGTCCGAGCGATGCCAGGTATTAGTATACACCCCCTCCCCCAGGCGACCGGCAGCCAACCAGGAACCATGCTCACCACACCCCCACCATCCCTGTCAAAAAACAATACAAAACGCACTCGGCCTCCACATTTGGAGCATGCGCGGCCAACCAGATGCGGCCCCCCTACATCATCCCTGTCAATAAACCAACACAAACCATACGTGGGGCAAATTCTTGAGCCATGTTCGTGAGGCCCTTCAGTACTTCGCATTGCTCCCAACCATCCTGTGGTGTTGGGCCCTCGTTTTGAAGAGACGGCGCCGCGCGTTCTCCTCCTCCCGCCTCCTTCCCCCCCCTCCTCCCTCCATTGCCTCTGCCCTCCGCATGTATCTGTTTCGGCACACCCCACACACGCTTCGTGGCCCCATGGGGAGCTCCACCGAAGGCCCCACTAGCAGGGTTCGCATGGCGCCACCGCGCCCATTTCGGCGCACCCCTTCAGACGCATCGTGGCTCCATAGGGAGCTCCACCGAAGGCCTCAGTAGCAAAGTTCGCATGGGGGCCCCGCCCCATTTGGGCGCACCCCTCGCACGTTTCGTGGCCCCATGGGAGCTCCACCGAAAGCCCCATTCGCAAAGTTCGCATGGTGGCTCCGCTCCATTTCGGCGCAACCTTCACACGTTCCGTGGCCCTGTAAGGGGCTCCACTGAAGGACCTAGTGGCAAAGCTCGCATGGCGGCCCCGCCCAATTTCGGCACACCCCTCACGCGTTTCGTGGTTCCATGGGGCGCTCCACCGAGGGCCCCAGTGACAAAGTTCGCAAGGCGGCCCCGCCCCACTTCGGCGCACCCCTTCACACGTTTCGTGGCCCCGTATGGAGTTCCACCGAAAGCCCCAGGGGCAGGGCTCGCATGGCGCAGCCGCACTTATTTTGGCGCATCTCTTACACGTTCCGTGGCCCCATAGGGAGCTCCACCGAAGGCCTCAGTGGCAAAGATCGCATGGCGCAGCTGCACCTATTTTGGCGCAATGCTCGCATGGCGCAGCCGCGCCCAGCTCGGCGCACCCCTCACACGCTTCGTGGCCCCACAGGGAGATCCACCGAAGGCGGGGCGTACACCTGCGGTACTCACAGTTGCATATGGTTGGGTCCTTCGCACCAGCCCTCTGGGCGACAGGTGGTCTAACGAGGGTTTCTTTCCTCTTCTACGACCCCTCTTCCTTTCGGGGAGGGGAACCCTCTCCCTCCCCTCCTTTGTTTTTTCGTTGGAGGGGGACTGGTGTGTCAGAGAGTCATTTGCTCGGCCCTTGGGAGGACCAATGTGTGCCATCCCTCACGAGGATCGTGGCCCCCGAAGGGGGGAGGGACCCCCCCTCTTTTGACCGACCGCCTCCAAGATGGCCCCCAGAAGCCCACCCAGGGCTCCTAAGAGGCCCCCGAGAGGGTTCCAAGAGCGCACCAAGAGGCCCCAAGAGGCCTCCAAGAAGATGCCCTCAAGAGGCCCCCGAGCGGCCTCAGAGAGCCCAGGATGACCTCCAAGATGGCTCAAGACAGCCCAAGCTGGCTCCCAAGATTCTCCAATAGGCTCCAAGACCGCTCCAAGACGACTCGAGATGGCCAGCCCACTCAGACGTCCCAGGGCTTCTAAATGGGCTGACTATGCGTGTCTCTTCCTCTCTCCCCCCCGCAGCTCCCATGGGCATCGCTTCTGGATGGACTGGTGTGGATATGCGAAGAGCCAAGAATTTGTCAAAGGACGGCGCGAGTGCCAGCATATTGCCTTATGTGTTTGGAGGGAGGGTCGGAGTGAACTAGACGGCGTGCTATCTAGAAGGCGTCTTGACTCGACCCCCCCTCCCCCATGGGTCTGGACGAGGCGTTTCACGAAACGTTGGAACGTCCGAAGTGGCCTTGGCGAGGAAGCCGAAACCATTGACTTTACAGAAAAAGGCTTTGGCCACGTCTTGACATCCTGGCGTGTTGGGGGGGGCACGCTCCCTGTCAAATCCGCCGAACCCCCGCTTGCTGAGGGTGAGGAAAAAGTGGCAGGATTGACTTTCCCATTGCCCCTTTCCTCCCCCCCCCAGCCTCCCAAATTCAAAGGGCCCAAGGACACACAAATATACACACATAGCGAGATCCCCCACATGTTCCAATCTGTTCTGGGTTGTCGTCTTCCCCCCAACTTCCTATAGTTTCCCATGCTTTCCTGGGAATCGACGATTCATTGTGTCTGTGTGATTTTTCCCCTCCTGATAAATCCCGCTCAAAAGGAGGGTGCGCGAACTCCCCGGCGCCTCCCTAGAGAGAGACTCTGGAGCCTCAAACTCCGCACTCCGTGGCCTGAAAGGCGTGCATAGACGGTCCTCCTCCTCCTCCTCCTCCTCCTCCTCCTCCTCCCCCTCCTCCTCCTCCTCCTCCTCCTCCTCCTCCTCCTCCTCCTCCTCCTCCTCCTCCTCCTCCTCCTGCTCCCCCTCCTCCTCCTCTCCTCCTCCTCCTCCTCCTCCTCCTCCTCCTCCTCCTCCTCCCCTCCCTCCTCTCCTCCTTCCTCCTCCCCCTCCTCCTCCTCCTCCTCCTTCCTCCTCCTCACTCCTCCTCCTCCACTCCTCCTCCCTCCTCCTCCTCCCTCCTCCTCCTCCTCCTCCTCCTCCGCCTCCTCCTCCTCCTCTCCTCCTCCCTCCTCCTCCTCCTCCTCCTCCTCCTCCTCCTCCTCCTCCTCCGCCTCCTCCTCCTCCTCCTCCTCCTCCTCCCTCCTCCTCCTCCTCCTCCTCCTCCTCCTCCCCTCCTCCTCCTCCTCCTCCTCCTCCTCCTCCTCCTCCTCTCCTCCCCCTCCCCCTCCTCCTCCTCCTCCCTCCTCCTCCTCCTCCTCCTCCTCCTCCTCCTCCTCCTCCTCCTCGTCCTCGTCCTCCTCGTCCTCCTCGTCCTAGGCAAACCTCAATGGAGATCTCTCCGGATTGTTAATGTGTCTGGGGTTCTCGTCGTTTCGAACTTCCGACGGTCTATAACGGCCCAAGAGGCCCTTGCAAGGGCGTCAAGACGGCCAAAGATCGCCCCAAGTGGGCCCAGAAAACAAATCCAAGAGGGGAAAAACGAAGCGAACATCGGAATCTTCCTCCCCACGAGAAGGCCACCCCCCCAAACCTCAAACGCCCATAATCGGGTCAAAATTAACCCCCAAAACAGAGCCTGAAATTCCCCGAAACACGTTTCAAAACTGCCTGCTGGATGCTCAACCAGGCCCCAAAGGAGCTCCCAAAACGCCCACAAGAGTCCCCAAACAATGCACAAGAAACCTTCGAGGCCTCAACCGTGGACTACCCGCCTCTTTTTGGGGCCGGCGGGATGGCGAAAGTCTTGAATAATAGTATGCTGGCCACTCACGGCCGTCGGTCGTGCGCGCATGTCGAAGTCTTTCCAACACACTCAGCACCGACACGTGGACACCATCGTCATCGGCGTGATCAACATCGGCACCGTCATTGGCCTTGCGGTAAAGATCGTCATCGTCCATCGGCGCCACCAGCATCGCTACAATCATTATCGTGTCTGCTGTTGTCGACGCCGCCATGATACCGAGCCCGCTCGAATCACCGACTCACATTGAAGTGCCCGCGCGTCAGCATAGCCTGCGAGACGCGCTGGGAAACCACCAGCGGCTATCGCCACCGCGGCCGCGGCGGTCGCACCAGATTGGCTGGCCGCTCTGCATACGAGCCTGCGCGCGCTAGTGCGGCTGCAGCGACGCGCCAACGCCAAGCAGTCATCGCAATCGCCGCCGCATGGGTTCTGCAAACTAAGCTTCCGCTGCGCACCCGGCCGCTTGACCCCTGTGGACGACATCACCGCCGCCCCGTCTGCACTAAACACCGAGACGTGCTGACCCTCCACATCCTCTTCTTCCTCCTCCTCCTCCTCCTCCTCCTCCTCCTCCTGCTCCTGCTCCTGCTGCTGCTGCTCCTCCTCCTCCTCCTCCTCCTCCTCCTACTCCTCCTCTCCCTCCTCCTCTTCCTCCTCCTCCTCCTCCTCCTCTTCCTCCTCCTCCTCGCCCTCCTCCTCCTCCTCCCCCTTCCGCCCAGCTCAAGAGGGAGGGGGCAGGGAGGCGGACCCTCGCAAAGAGGAGAGAGGAGGCAGGAGCCCTCGCTGCACCCCGGGCCCTGGGCGCCCCGATCTCCTCGGCGACCACCAGGCTGCAGGGGACCCAGACCTCTCCTCCTCCTCCTCCTCCTCCTCTTCCCCCCTCCCTTCTCTCTCTCTCCTCCTCCTCCACCCCTCCCCCTCCTCCTCCTCGCCCTCCTCCTACTCCTCTCTCCTCTTCCTCCCCCCCTCCCTCCCTCCCTCCCTCCCTCCTCCCTCCCTCCCCCTGCCTTCCCTCCCTCCCTCCCTCCCTCCCTCCTCCGTCCCACCCTCCCCACTCCCGCCTCCCCCCTCCCTCCCTCCCCTCCTCCCTCCCCCTCCCCCTCGGCCCCTGCCTCCCCCCCCCGAGGTCCGACATCGTGATCCATCACGAGGTCGCCACAAAAGATCTCGACCCGGGCCCTGGTCCCCCTCTTCCATCGCGGCGCCCAAGTCCGCAGGGGACGTCGTCATCCGCTCGGCGGCGGAATCGAGTGCGGCCCCATCTTCCATCGCGGCGCCCACATCTGCAGGGGACTGCGTCATCATCCGCTCGGCGGCGAGTGAGCCGGTGTCGGCACACCCAGGGTTCCTATTACTTCACGCGTCGCGCCCAGCCGTGCGCGATGCCTTCGCGCCCTCGCGCCGCGTCGCCGCTCTGCGGGGCTCGATGCATCTTCGCGGATTGCCTATGCACGCCCAGCGGCCGAACGGGCTCGGGCCCGCGTGGGCTCGAGGGAAACCGAAACCGCGGTCGGAGGGAAAGAATCGTCGTCGTGCGTTGTGGTCGTACACAGTGAAAGCCGCACAACCGCGAACTTCCGTCCGAAGGTCCGCGCGGACGCCCTGAATCGGTGCTGGACGCTGCCCCTGCAGTGCGGAGCGCGCTGGAGATCCAGCGCCGATCCACGGAGAGTCCGCGCCGACCTCCGGAAAAGTGCAGTCAACCCGTAGAATAAGGATGCACGATAATCAGGCCGGGCGAAAGGGGGGGATAGCAAAAGGGGGGTTTGAGAATCAGCTCACGTAGCTGATTTTCCCGGCGCCTCCCGGCGCCAGGAGGCGCCCATGTATCGAGGAATGGGCCCGGCGGCGGGGCCGAAACCAGCTGCATGCAGCAGATTTCGTAACCCCCCCTTTCCCAATCCCCCCCTTGCGCCCGACCCGAGATAAGGATGCAAGGGCCTTGGAAAGCCACGTTGACGCTCTTCGAACGGAGCGCCAGCCCGCCCCAAGGGCACCCCAAGGGGCTGGCCAGCGAAAGTGGCCAGGGATGGACCGAAGGGGCAAGGATGCAAGGGGCTAGGACAAGTTGCTCATCCTTACTCTGCGGGTTGACTGTAATATCGTATGTGCTGATATGGGAGGCGGCCAGGGTCTCTGAGCTGGATGGGACCCCATTGAAGCGGTCAGGGGGGGGGATTGGGCCAAATCCGCTCAAAACCGTCCTGGGACCCCTCCCAGGAGTCAGTCCATCTGGTGCAGCGCTTCGACCCAGCTCCGTTCTGCACGGTGCCGGTGCCCGAAGACGGCCCCGCGGAGGCCGAAACAAGGCGGCAATCAACAACAATCGATACGAACCCAGAAACTCGGGGGCGGCCAAGAGGGGGGCGTCCAAGAGGGGGGGGTGCAAATCATGGCTGGCGGCATGTGCGCGGCCCAGCGGGGGGCCAGGGCACGTAATGGAATGAGAAGAGGCGCCATGAAATTTTGGGAAGTATCATGGCCCCCGCCATGATGTCCACCCCCCCTACTCGCCATCGCTCGCACGTCCATTCCCTGTGTTTTTGTTCGGTTTCGTGCGTGTTTTTTTCGCCAAATGATCGAGGAGGCTCCTCGATGGTCCTCGCCGAAGGAAAGATGCACACGTCCGAGCGATGCCAAACCTAGTCATCGCCCCCCTCTTTGCCGCCCCCAAGTATAGTATACGAACCCGGAAACGCGACCCTGTCCGCCCTGCGCGCGGGCCGGAGCCAGCGCTCGGCTCCAACCCGCGTGCACCCCTTGCAGAGCTGACGATCCACCCATGGCGAGCCTGACGTCGTGCGCGTGGTGCGTAGGCCTACTCTTGAGTTAGGCCTGTACGATAAACAAAAAATGACCAAAACAACTCCCAAATGATGTTTTAAAAATACGCAAACAATAATCGCCTGACTATTTTTTGTATTTTTGAATATTCCCCCCGTAGAGGGACAGGCCTGACTTAAGCCTACTCTGCAGAAACGCGTGCGCGTGGGAGGCGCCCATGATAATTGCGCGACGCACTGCAGCCTCGAACAACGCCCGACCCGCTCCTCACTCCCTTTACTTTCCGCACTATCGTTTCTAAAGGGGCCATGGGTCACACAAATAAATACACACTAATCAAAGGTTCCCCCATATTTCTGAATATGTTCTGGGTTTTTGTCTTCCCCCCCACTTCCCATATTTTCCCATATTTTCTAGGAATCGACGATTCAGTGTGTCTGTGTGTTTTTTCCCCTCCAGCGTTTCTACCGCTTACAACACTCCGCCGCCCTCTTGCTTCTGTGCGTTGCGCCGCCTGGGACTCCGGGCTGGGCCTCATCTCGCTGGCGCGGGTGGCGGCCGAAACAGGCTCTCGGGGTGAGAGCCCTCAGCACGACGGCGCGCAGACTGCTGCAATGCCGCGTCCGACCGACCGACCGACCCCCAGACGGCTCCCTTGCTCCTGCGCAATCTTCTCGGATCGGAGTCGAAGTGGTCTCAGTGGAGGGAGGAGGAGGAGGAGGAGGAGGAGGAGGAGGACGAGGAGGAGGAGGAGGAGGAGGAGGAGGAGAGGAGGAGGAGGAGGGAGGGGGGGGAGGAGGAAGGAGGAGGAGGAGGAGGAGGAGGAGGAGGAGGAGGAGGAGGAGGAGAGGAGGAGGAGGAGGAGGAGGGAAGGAGGGGGAGGAGGAGGAGGAGGGGAGGAGGGGGGGAGGAGGAGGCCATCGAGGTGGAATCGGATCGCATGGGAGGGAGCAGCGGCAGCGAAGAGGTCTCCCACGACCCGAAGACGGCCCCCCAATGCTCGAGCGCCCTCTCCTCGACTCGAGGCGGCTCGAATCGGAGCCCGCAGCCGTCGGCATGGAAGCGGATTGAAGCGGATAGGGGGAGAACAAACCTACCTCGCTTTTGACCACCCTCGCTTCCAAGGGATACCAAACGATGCAAAACTGCAGCCTGTACTGGTCAGGCCGCTTGACGAGGAGGCGCGTGGTATGGCTTGGTTTTGCCTGGAAGCGAAAGCGGGGTAGGTAATTCACGCCCTGAGCGGAGGACAAAACCGACACGCCCTCCGACGGGACCCTCCGACGCTCCCCCCCCCCGCGCTCGCGCGCACTCTCCTCTCGGAATCGCAGGCCGAATCGACTCGGCATCGCATCGGAGGCATCGAAACGGAAACAAAAAAAAACACCCAAGAGGATTGAAGCGGAGGAAGACCGAAACGCCCCCCCCCAGGACCCTCCGACGGCCCCCCCGCGCTCGCGCGCACTCTCCTCTCGGAATCGCAGGCCGAGTCGACTCGGCATCGCAGCGGAGGCATCGAAACGGAAACAAAAAAAACCCGCGACCCCCCGGCGGCCCCAACGCTCGCGCGCACTGCACTCGGGTCAAAGCGGAATCGAATCAAAATCGGAAGCCATCCAAAAGAATCGGATCGAATCGGAGGAATCGAACCGCCCTCTCTGGGTAGACCATCAAATACCGATACCGCTAATTACCGCTACCGCTACTCCCCGGACCTCTCCCGGGGTGCGTTCTGACCAGGATTTCGAGGCGAATCCAGCGGTGGCGACGAGGGCCTCCCAGGAGGCCCAAAAAAGGGGGAGGCAGGGCGAGCGTAGCGATAAGGGTACCTTCCCTGAGATCCGACGTTGCAAAAAAGTTGCACTATCGCAAGAAATCACGCCCGGAGCCCCGGACCCCATCCTTCTGCGGCGTTTTTCGAGCCGGATCGAGCTGGGAGGCTCCCGTGGCCCGAAAGGGAGCGAGCCTGCCCGTCGTAGAAAAGGCAGGAAGCCAGGGGCTCGGGGCTGGCCTCCCTTTGCTCTCGGGGCCCCCCGGCGGCCGCGCTGCCCGCCGCCGCCCTATAGTCGTCGGCGAGACGCCGCCGCCCCGAACCACCACTTTGGACGCCCGACATGGGTACGGAACGAATGGGTACAATGCCCAACAGCAGTTCCTGTTCATCCTGAACAGGACTCGCTGTCCACGCCGCCGCGGCCTGTGTCCATTCGCGACAGGGGGCCGCCTGCCCAACAGCGGCCGCTGTTGGTTTGGGACAACATCTGCTGTTAAGCATTGTGCCCACTCTTTCCGTGCCCATTCCGGGCGTCCAGAACCACACGGGCTCCGCGCGGCCCCGCGGGGGGTCGCCGGGGCCTCCGCCTGCGTCGGCGCCCGCGTCCCCGCCTGCGGGCGGGCGGAGGGGCGGGCCGTCGAGGCGCCCAGGGGCACGCAAGTAAAGAGGCAGACAGCCCAGGACTCCCCATGTACAGGGCAGCTTTTCTTAATACATAAGATTTCTAGGCATCTAGGGTTTTTTTTTAAGACATGATTGATGTATGGATAAATTTGTGCATGAGCTCCTCGATGTTTTTTTTATGCTAAATCCCCGCATTTGTAACACATGATCCGCACGCGGAGCATGTATCAAAAAAGGCACTGTACTCACTTAGGTAGCTGCTGGGAGGTCGTCTTCCCCTCCACTTCCCATCCGTTCCCCGCGTTCTTCTGGGGATCGAGGTCGGTTTGTGTCCGTGTGTTCTTCTCCCTCCTGTGACAGGGGGTGCCTTCGGCGGTGGACAAACCTCCCTTGAGTAAACCTCCCCTTAGTGAAAACGGCCTGGGACCGAAACCGACGGACCTGGACCCGCAAAAACGACGGCCGCGACGCCCTCTCGCGAACCGAAAACGGCCAATTCCTTAATCGACGTGTCAGGGTAAGAGGTCCATCCACCTTCGAGGACGAACGGAAACATCGACCTGGAATCGGCGATACATCGCCGATGAATCGGCCATCGGCCCCCGATCGTGAATCCGCACGTTCCTGGGCAGGTTGGGGCTCTCGGGCACCTACTGGCGATCCGTGGGCGATTGGGAGTCGACGCTTTCCCCCATATGCCGACCCCCACTAGCGTTCGTTGCCCCATGAGGGGAGGGAGGGGGTCACGGCCGCCACGGCGCTCCCCGAAGATGAAGCCAGGGTGAGGACAAATTCGGAACTGAAGTGAATCGGGAATCTCTAAGATGCGGCGGCTCTGGAAGATGTGTCGGGCGCCGCGGCCTTCTCAGAGCGTTCCGGAATGCTCTGAGAGCGCTCCGTAAAGCTCTGGAACGGGTGTCCTCGTCCTGGCCTCGTCCGATCACTGCTCCTGCACAGACATCCTGGCGTCTCTTCCTGGTGTCGGCCTATCGGGGCGATTCTGCTGGGCCTCGGGGCCGTCAGAAAACGACACGCGATGAAAGACTGGTCCCGGGGAAGCGGTCGAGAGGTCGGGGGCCCGTGCCTCGAAATAATCGAGGCGCCAGATGTCTGGGTGGCGCCCCAGGTGCTGTCGGGCAGCCCCATGTCTCGTGGGAGGGAGGCAGCACGGATGGCCAATCGAACAAAGATTGAATCGGGGATCTCTGACAACCGGCGGATTGGGTCGGGCGCCGCGGCCGTTCAGGAGCGTTTCGGAATGATCTGAGAACGTTCGGGAAAAAGATTGGGGTCCGCATAGACGGAGTCGGAGGATCTCGCCGCAATGCCGATGCAGCGGCGATGCATCGGCGACACGTCGGCGACGTCGACGGTGCATCGGCGACGCTGGCGCGGAAAAACTGGGGCTCCACATCGAGCCGCATCGACGATGCGGCGAAATCTTCTGTCCCCATTCTACTCGGACCCCATCTGGGAGGCATCTATTATTAGGTCGGGCCTGGTTAGAGTCCCCCCGGAAGGTTCTCAGAATTTCTGGGGGGGCGTGGGACACGTAAAAATAAAGGAGTTGCGTGCCCCCGAAGCCAGAATCCCTTTCAAATTACTCTGTATTCGCGTCCCAGAGGCCACGATCCCTCGCAAATTACGCCACCTTCGCGTCTCCGAGGCCACGATCCCTTTAAAATTACGCCACATTTGCGTCTCCGAGGCCACGATGCACCGTACATTACTCCACATTCGCGCCCACTAGACCACGATCCCTCGTAATTTACACTACATTCGCGCCCTCGAAGCTACGATCCCGAGTAATTTAAATAATTGTCGCGCCCCCGATGCCACGATCCCTTGTAACTTACGACAAATTGGCGCCCCTGACGCCACGATCCCTAGTAAATTACGCACCGGGCGCGCCCCCGAGGCCACGAATCCGCCTTGCGGAGGCTGCCGAAAAGGCGCTCCCCCTCTCCAAAGCAGGAAAACGGCAATTCGCTGTATTGGGATATGTGCTCCGCTGGTATTCTTTTGCCCCCCCCTCCGTTTCTGGAAAATTCGGTGGTGGGTTCCAATTTGGCCCTTCCAGGCCACGATCCCTCGTAAGTTACGCAATATTTGCGCCCCCGAGGCCACGATCCCACGTGAATTACGCCACAGTCGCGCCACCGAGGCAACGATCCCTCGTAAATTACGCCGCTGTCGCGCCCACCAGGCCACGATCCCTCGTAAATTACGCCACGTTCGCGTCCCCGAGGCCACGATCACCAGCAAATTACACCAAATTCGCGCGCACCCCCCACGCTACGAATCCACCTCGCGGAAGCTGCCCAAAGGCGCCACTCCTTCTCCAGAGCAGAAAAATAACCTTCCCAGAGATTGCCTGGAGCAATCCCCAGCCGTTCCCAGAGCGCTTTCAGTGAACAACTGGAGGAACATGCCAAGAAGGCAACAAAGCGTTCAACAACAACTTCAACATCTTAATCTGTTTTGCTCATCGCCAGCCGCCCTAGCATGACGTTCCCGAATGTCATCAAGACGGCGCCCGAACATCCCAATATAGCTCTGGTGTATCCCATTCTGATAGAGAGGGGGCCGGCGGCAGGGGGCGAAGCCCTTACGGATTAAAAATACTAAAAACAATTATCAAAAGATGCCCAAAAATACAAAAAAAATCCCCAGACTATTTCTAAACTATTTTTGTATATTCCCCCAGTAGAGGGACAGGCCCGACTCAAGGCAAATCTGGACATCTCCGGGCAAGCTGGGGCTACCGGGCCCCCATCGGCGACCACTGTGCGATTCGGGGGTCGATCCATCCATCCTCTGCTATGCTTGAACAGGGACCGACCGTCCTGGCACTCCTACAGTCATACCACGAAATGTTCTTAGAACCGAACAATGTTCTAAGAACGAAAACCAAGTTCTTAGGACATAAGCCCGATGTGTTAAAACAAGACAGTCCCAGCCAGACATGTTCTAAGAACAGGTCCTGGGAACCGCCACAGGTTCTCAGAACTTTTTGTTGGTGGGGCTGTGAGCGAGCTGGGACGCTTCGCCACTGCTTGATATGCCTGTCCCCCCTGTCTCGGGAGCGGCCAACAGGGGGGTGTCCAAAAGGGGGGTGTGCAAATCATGACCGGCGGCATGTGCGCGGCCCAGCGGGGGGACCAGGGACGTAATGAAACCAGAAGAGGCGCCCTGAAATCTGAGGAAAAATCATGGCCCGCGCCATGAAATCCACCCCCCCCTAGTCATCACCCCCCTCTTTTCCGCTCCCCCCTGTCGCTGCCCCCGGAGACTCCATCCCTCAGGACCCCGCCCGTGCCGGCGGCCGAGGCGGAAGGGGCCGCTCGCGGCTGCCGTGCGCCACGAGTGGCGGGACTCCGCGGGGGAGGGAGGAGAGGCAAGGCTGGGGTGCGCTCGCGTCATGTCTGACGTCCTTGAAGGGGAACTGGGACACACAAATAAATACACACAAATAAAAAGATTCCCCATATTTTCCTATATTTTTGGGGTTTTTGTCTCGCCCCCCACTTCCCATATTTTCCCATATTTTCTGGGAGTCGCCGATTAATTGTGTCTGTGTGTTTTTTTCCCTCCTGAGTCCTAGCCCTCCCCCCCCATCCCTTACCGTGGCGCAGATTTCTGTCGGGCCTCTCCCCCCGCAGGGCGATGTTCGACGACAAATGAAACCAAAAAACAAACGTACCCCAAGAAGGTCCACAAATACTCAAAGCATAGTCCCCAGACTATGTTTGGATTATGTTTGGGGTATTTTTTGTTTTTCGTCGAAATCCCTCTGTAGGGGGACAGGCCCGACTTAAGTGTAGATCTCCTCTCTATTCGCACAATCAGATGTCGTAGCATGGCATGGCATTACAGGGCATAGCACGGTGTTGAAGATCAACGCGTAGCATGACATAGCATGGCGTGGCGACGGCCCAAAGTGGGGGAGGGGGGGGGGCTTCTGCGGCCCAAAAAATGAAAGAATCGACACCGAATGTGGAATCACTTCTGATAGTTTCTTCGGGGAGCCATGTTCTAAGATTTGGGGCCGGTTTGGAAGGACCAACAACCATGCCGTGGCAGCGCACCAGAAATAATGACGCCAACGCTGCAGCGGGAGCACGATTAGGGAAGGGCGGAAGCGCGGAAATGAGGCCAACGCTGCACTGGGAGCACGATTCGGAACGAGCGGTAGCCCGAAAATGAAGCCAGCGCTTCAGCGAAGCCGCATTCTGAACAACAAAAAAGGAAGCGCGGAAATGAGGACGCCTAGACTGACATAGCATGGCGTGGCGACGCCCCAAAGAGGGGGGAGAGCTTCCACGGCCCCAAAAATTAACGAATCGACGCCGAATGTGGAATCATTTCTGATGGTTTCTTTGGGGGGGGTAACTATTTTTTAGATTTTGGAGCCAATTGGAAGGACCGAAAACCGTGCCGGGGCAGGGCACCGGCATGGAGCACCGTTCGGAACGAGCGGAAGCGCGGAAATGAGGCCAACGCTGCACCGGGAGCACCGTTCGGAACGAGCGGTAGCCCAAAAATGAGGCCACCGCTTCAGCGAGAACAACATTTTGACAAACAAACTAACATAAAAACCCGTGTCCCCGGAATCCTGCGAAAACAACCAGTACGCGCAGAGGGGGCGACCACTTCCCGGACGCCGCCAGGGGAGAGAGGAGCGTAGTACTCGTACTGCGTGATTGTGAGTGGGGAGGCGGGTAGGAGGAGAGGGAGGAGGGAGGAGGAGGAACAGGAGGAGGCGAGACGCGAGACGACGACGACGTCGACGACGACGACGACGGCGACGGCGACGACGACGACGACGACGACGACGACGCCGCCGCCGCCGCCGTGCGCGGGGCCGCCGCGGCGCACGCGGCCGACAGGGCGCGGCGGCCTCCCGGGCTGCCCCGGGGCGCCGGCGGGGCGGAGGGCGCCGCGGGCGCCAGCGGGGCCGCGGCGCCGCCTCTCCGCGCGGGGCGGC